ATCTATAAATTAGATGTGAGGGGTCTGATGGAAAATGTTCAAAGTTTAAGGAAATTTTGTGAGGTACCCTAAAGTTTAAGGGACTTATGTGAAATAAATAAAGTTTAGTGGGATTATGTGAGAAACCCCGCAAAATTCAAGGGGTTGTGCGAAATTAACCCAACAATTAACTTTGGACGTCCGGGTGGGCTCGGGCTTGGGCTCCAGCTCATGATACGGGCTACAACGGGCTAATTGTCGAATTTTATTATTAACGTAGAGCACCTAATTTTTAATAAGTTTCATTGGGCTAGTACTTATGTCCATAGATACACTTGTTCTCTATATAAATCTAAACTGAAAGGGCTTTTTCCCCCTTGAAACCACTTTTAAAAACAGGGTTTTTTAATAAAAATCACATTTCATTTTCAATTTATGCATGACCCACTTTTAAAGTGGGTTTTTATTCTAATCAACAATCTATTAGCCAAATGTTCACTAGAAACTAAAAATAACCTTCAAAAATGCACATTCAGGACACATGACTCGTGTCCTAACTAGATCTAAACATTAACAAATTGAGTCACGTGTATTGAATTTGAGTTTTTAATTGTGTTCTTGAAGTTTTCAGTGAAAATTTTGACTAGAAGATGGAGCAAAAACCCACATTAAAGATTGTTTAACTATAATTGAAAATAAAAGATCACTTCTGTAAAATAGCAATATTTTAAAGGTGGTTTCTAGGAAAAAAAAATCAAACTGAACTAATTAACTCCTTGGATTAAAAAAGATCCCTCTCTTTCTACATCTTTTAGATGAAAAAAGAAACATAAATTATTTAATTTAGGCAGATAAAGTGACATCAATTAAGTAACTAGTTAAGAATTGCTGTTTCTCAAAGTTAAATGCCTCAATCCAACGAAAACAACTCATTATATTTGCCCGATGAGTTTCTAAAGGATCGGCACAGAAATCTACATTGGTCTTGACTAATGAGTGGGAGGAGATGATTTTATTTATTTATGTATTTTTATTTTTTTGTAAGTTCATTTGGATGATGAAGAAGTTCAAAAAGTAAAGCCCAAGTTGGGAATATAGTATAATTTACAGGAAGACTGCTTCCTAATGCTTTTTTATCAGAATATGTGCTTTTAGAGCATTGTATAAAGATGATAAAAAAAAGATGCTCTTAGACGTGATAAACCAAAATAATGATGAGATTCTGAACATGAAATTATATCTTGCTGTTCTTTTAGATGAATACCCTAGGAGGCCATAGCAAAAGTTTAAAAAAGAGGAATTAAGAAGAATGATTAACATAGTTGACCTATTTGACAATCCGAAGAGTTTAAACTGTTAAAACTATTAAGAAGGCTTTATTTTAGCCGTTGTGATCATTTTTAGTGTTTAGAAATAACGAGTATTTTGTAAGTAGAGGGGTTAATTATTAATCCGTCTAATAGGAGTATTAGTAAATTATAGAAGGGTTAGTTTAACCCTTCTGCAATTTTGGTGTTTGGTAAATTATGAAGGGTTAACTCACATTAACCATCTATATAGACTTTTTACGTGTTTGATGAGATAAGAAGATGGTAAATCTCATTAACCCCTCACTTGTCTCGCTGACAAATGACGCCCTAAAGTTTAAGTTTCACCCTTTAATACAACTTTAATTAGGTACATGTCAAACCAAAAAAGAGAGCAAGAGAAAAAATAAAATGAAAATTAGCCTCCTTTCTGCACGCTAGCATACAAAAAGATCAAACGATGACAAATATACTTTTTGTCGACCTTTATACAAATAACCCATATTATATCTTGCTAATATTTTCACGTGCAGAAGCCCCACTCTCCTAATCATTGGCTTCATCGTACTTAATTACAATAATTCCTCACTAATCCCCATCCCATAATAAACAACACAGTAAGATCCTTTACCTTTAGATATATCCAATCTATTACATCCAGATCCAACGGTCAGGAGCTTCTATTATGCCAACCTTTAAACCAATTTAAATACAAACCAATCATTTCAATTAGCGGTAATCGTTTCTTAATCGACATCTTAACTCCCGAGGGACGATAAAAAAGCCCGAATTTTCGTCCGAAACGCCACGTCAAGACCCGACACAGACCCCTCCTCGAAACCGATCCCCCCGCCGCTCCAATCGTAACCACGTGGCTTAGTTCTGTGCTTCGAAATTCCCCAGGATCTCGAGGGCCACTGGGCCCCCACTCACGGACGTCGTCCTCACCACCGTCAGGCAACGGTGTCGGCGCCGCCGCGGCCCCTCGACCTCGCGAAGTAGTTCTCGCGGAGCGCCTGACCTCCGCCCCCGCCTTTTGAATGAACCGCCAGCGACCGGGCAACTTCACCGCCCTCCCCCGCCGGGCGGCACTCGAAGCACGGCCTCGCCGTCGCTGCTCCGCGGGCGGCGTTTCTCTGTGCCTTAACCTGCTTCCGAAAACGCCCGGCCTCCACGCGCTTCAAACGCGCTGCCAGCTCAGATTATCGTGAAAGTCGCTCCCGAGTCATGATGACCCGCCCGTTAACGTCGGTCCCCGGCACGAAAAACCCGCGCGCAGCTTCACCTTCTTACCCCGACGGTTATCCGATTCAGCCGACTGTAGTAGTTAATTCCCCGAAAACGTTCGTGACCGTCGGTGTTCGCCCTTACAAAAGGCGCGAACCTGACGCCGTCGGGGAGTCCTCTCTCCCGCCGTTAGAGTCAGGCCGGGACCCTGGGGTTGTCGTCGAATCGTGGGCAGACCATGGCCAGTACGGATCGGGTGAGGTTGAAGCGCCCGGGGAGTGGAAACGGCCCGCGGCCCGAACCGGCACGGCGCCGGCGGTGCTGGCGGTCGGGACGAGGGAGAGCCGACGGCGACGTGCGGGTAGGCTTTCCCGCGCTCAAGGGTCAGGCGGTTTTCGACAGCAAGAGCCCGGCGGTGAGCGGAGCAAGGCGTATATGACGAGGTAAGGGGGGCGAGGGAAGGAGCAGTTCCTGGGGGAGGCGCATTTTCGGGCACTTCGGGTGCGGGTGGTATGAGGCGAGCACTTGCCGGCGATTTGAGCGCCGACGCAGCTTGGAGCGAGGAGGGACGTCTGGGAATGAATTTCGCGGGGGAGGGGCATTTCGGCCAGAGGGTAGGAGCGTGCAGGCGACCACGGAGGTTGCTGCCGGTTCGAGGAGGAGGGGGATGGTCTGGGGGCGGGATGCCGAAGCCCAGCGGCAGATGAGGTAGCCGCCGTAGGAGTGGGAGAGGACGGGGGTAGGGCATTTCGGGAAGGATGGGACCTCTTGAGGTGCGGGCGCGGTGGAGGGGAGAGGGAGAGGAGGGAGGGGAGGGAGTAGGGGTTGGGTGGGGCGGATGGGGTGGAGAGGGGGCGAGCGGGGAGGCGGGAGGAAGGGTGGAGGAGGGAGGAGGAGAAGAGGATTGGAGCAGGGGCATTTTTGGGCATTGCTGTTGGAGACGAAGGAAGGAAGGCATTAAATATATAGGCGAGCTCCATTGTCAGTGGGGTCCCACCGGAGGGGGCTTGGTGGCTGGTAGATCAGATGAGATTAAGGTTTAGCCCCGCGTGATTAGCGCTAAATGCTCCCTCTTGATACAAATTTTCAAAACCAACCTTTTTGTCAAAAAATTCCCAAAAAAGACCCGTTTCAAGCTTAATTTTAAAAACCGACCCAATTGGACTGAAACTAGGTCGGTTTTTGAAGAAAAAAACTCCCAAACTTCATGGGAGTTGAAGTCCCGTGAAGTTTTGTTATATAAAAAACTTCACAGGATTTCAACTCCCGTGAAGTTTGGAAACTTTTTTTTTAAAAAACCAACCAAGTTTCAGCCAATTGGGTCGATTTTTGAGATTAAGTTTGAAATGAGATTTTTTTTTTTGGAATAAAATTCAAAACAGTTCGGTTTTGAAAATTTATCATACTTAGAAAGGGTTATTTAGATATCAGTCCCTCAAGTCTTCGGTAATTTTACTTTAACCCCTCGAATCTTTGAAATTTCTTGCGCGTACGTCAAATCTATTAATAACCGAGACAACCATAATAAAGATCACATGCAGACAACTCTTTGTTTTTGGACTTCAGCGCCCACAAACTCACAAGCTCTGTCAATATTTTTAGTAATTTTAGACGTTTCTATTAGTTAACAGTGGTGAAGATGGTCCGCGGAAGGAGGATATTTGAACAAAATGGCAAATTTTAATCATGCATTTTTTTGGTTCGTATTATTGGTAGGTGAATGACTCCAAGATGAATGCTCCAAAATGTTTGAGTACTCATTTCATGCATTAATTGCCCTCTACTGGTCCTCACAACTTAAATAATCAAGTAAATTAGTACGTGGATTTAGACATTAAATAATCCTAGGGGCACACCATTAACCACACTCCCAACCATATTCTCATACTCTCTATAGTGCTAGTGGGCCATGCATGATATTTTTTAAAAAATATCATGCACGGCCCACTAGCACTATAGAGAGTGTGAGGGTGTGATTGAGAGTGTAGTTGATGGTGTGCCTCTAGTGGGACTCGTATAGATACTATTAACAGTAGTCTAGCTCGATTATATCCTAGGATCATCAGTTTGAGTAGAATGAAAAGGTTGGAATTACCGGAAGCAAGGGAGGCAATATGAGTAGAAAGTACTACCGATCGCCTCACTTAGGGGAAGATTGGGGACTGAAGCAAAAGAAAACCATTGATGAAATTAATAAATCAAAATTTTTTTTTGTTCCTTCTTATAAAACTACATCTCCAATTGACCTTTGATCCGTTTGCATTCATGAACGTGTAAAGATTGGTTCATTGTTTAGATTTTCTAGAATAGCCTAAAGGGTGTGTTTGGCAAACTACACGAAACTAGGTAAGGACCGGTCCTGACTTAGTTTTGTGCTAAACCGGTTTGGTTTTTTTTGGACCAATCCCTCATGTTCAGAAAGAAAATTTATTTAATAGCCAGTTTTAAGCCAGCTCTAGCGCTCTCATTAAGCCAAACAAAAAATAACTTTAAAATCGGATGAGGTTTAGTCCTGACACAATTTTACGAGATTGACATACAAATCCTAATACTTTTTTGCATGTGAGCTCCACTTGGTAAGGTTTCCCTTCATTTCTATCTCAAATCAAATCTCTTCACGTTTGACGTTGGTTAAACATGGGTCAGTGACCGACCACGCTCGTTGTTGTGGCCCCATAGTTTTGAAACAGAGCAGCGGCGGTTGCTCACTTGACGTGGGCTCAGCGACGTTGACATCTGCCCACTGTTTACTGCTAGAATAATGATTGATGGTGAGTTTGTCAACAAGTTAAAATTGAGTCAGGTCTAGTTCTAGTTAGTTCTATCTTAAAAACCAGATCTCTAATGAATCGGAAAGATGATCCGAACTTAGATTGGTTTTGATTTAGGAAAACCGAATTATAAAATTGGACCAGGTTCAGTGCCGACCAAGTTTTAAGGGTTTACCAAACGGCATCATGAGACATCATCTTAATAGGGAAATGCATCGATCAAAAGGGTAAAAAAAGCTTGACAATGAGAACTCCAATTGTTACCACCTGCATCAACACACATAGACACCCAGATAGTAAGAATTGCCTGAAAATGTAATTTTGCAGCTAATACATGTAGACCCTCATCAAGATATACACTGGCTTTACAGTAATACTAATTTTGGCAACGCCTGAAGCAAAAACTGTTCGAACTTCAGATGAAAATTTCCTCCGATGATTTTATTCAAGTCACGGGCACAAATGAAATCACAACAAACTCAAAACAAGGCCTAATCACAACAAAAACATATATTTTGCTCTTCAAACACCAAAACACTAACTAGTTTAACCGCGGAGATCCAGATTATTAGATAGCAGCGAAATATTCCTTGCTCAACTTAGGATCAGGCTTCATGGATTTCTCCCCAGGCTTCCATCCTGCAGGGCACACTTCGTCCGGGTTCTCTTGCACGAATTGCAGAGCCTGGAATAAGTAGGATGAATCAAAAGTTTAGAATAAAGAAATAATAATTTGATTATAATGTCAACCAACTAAGATGGAAACCTATGACGACCAGTAATAATGTGCACCCCTCTGGATTCACGGGGGAGAGGGAGATTTTCTGTAATTTATTCTTCTTAAACCACCAATCTTTGTGTTTTAAGAGCTAATAAATAGTTGCGAAGTGATAAAGGCTACTGAAAATATTGATGAGGGGGTTATCTAGAATTCACCTGTAAAAATTCATCCATTGTTTCGTCTGGAAATTGCAAATGCAACTGAACTTGTAATTTGTGAAAAATGTTGTGGTTGCAATTGTCGAGCAATTATTTGTTTCGCTTTAATTTGTAATTTTTTTGTGACTACAGTTGTAAAATGACAATTTTTTTTACAGAACTGACTTAAAGTTAATATAACTGCAACTAATTTTATTCGGTCACTCATTTTAGTGGGCTAACGCTGAAACTACACATCTATCTCATTAGTTTTTACCTGAAGAGTCCTCATGGTCTCGTCCACACTCCGACCAATGGCAAGGTTGTTAATAGTCGAATGCTGAATAACTCCTTCCTTGTCAATGATGAAGAGCCCTCGAAGAGCAACCCCCTGTCAGACAACAGCCATGCTTTTCTTTGTCAAAATGGAATTCGGCTAATCTTAAGGTCAAACAAGCCTAAAATAATTAACTTTGCATAAATATGGACAGTCTGATTATTACCTGGTCCGGAATCAACACTCCGTATGATTTGGAAATTGATTTCGTGACATCTGAAATCAGGGGATAGTTCAGGTCCCCAAGTCCACCTGACTTCCTATCAGTTTGAACCCAAGCAAGATGGGAAAACTACACAAAGACAATAGAGTTGTACAAGAAAATCTAGACCAATACTTGGATACTAACAGTCTAACAGTATAATATACAGCCACAAGACAATGAGTATCTCTTTTTTTTTGTGGGGGGTGCGGAACTCTAGCATTCCTCCTCATGATCTCTGCATGTCTTGAGTCTCGTAATAAATCATTCCTCCTCATGATCTCCGCAAGCTTCATAAAAGCACCACTGCGCATTCTAACATAGTTAACACAACTATCACTAAATCCATTATATATCTGGTCCATGTGTTATTTTCTATTTTGATGTATTTTCTCTTCGCTAGGACATGCACGTATAGATCTACGTCTACTTTACATTCTCCTCACGAATGCCATAACCATAACTAAAACAGAAAGTGCAGCACCCGAAACATATTAACTACTGTCTCTTCATCGATATCACCATCCATCTAAAACACAAGCAACATATAACTAAGCACAACATCATATAGCCAATATCATAACAACCCTTTCAACTAGGATTGATTTCATGATTTTCCATCAAGGAAAGCAAAAAATTAAACTCAAGGTTCTAGTTATCACACCAACAGGTTGTATCACCCTTACCATCAAGTTGCCCTCTTTAGCCAATTATAAACTGAACCTATTATTTTCTGATGAACTATAGGGTGCTTATTACCTCATACAAAGATCCATTCTAGATTGAATATTTACTTAGTTGAGTATGAGTTGGGCATAATATTTCCGATAGCTACAGGCTCCTATACAAGTCAGTCATAATATTTCCATAGATACCCAGCCATGTGAACAATTTGTTAGTACAATAATTCAGAAACCAAACAAGAGAGAAGGCTGCTGTCTCGTACACCTAAATTATTTGTGATATTAGTGATAAATGTAGCTGTCAACTTTACATGATTATCAATTATTTCTGCCTAATGACAAGACAAAAGGCCAGAAAACCATCCTAGCCTCTTTTGAACAATGCATTGCGTCTTCTGATTAAAACAATTAACAAACTTACAAAGAAGCCACTCATCTATTTTGGTTCTCTCTTCTAATCTCAAACACAAACTGAACAAAAGGAGCTACAACCTCACAAACAAAAACCCCCCTGGTAGCTACGAATACATGAAGAAGAGTTAAAACAATTGGGTATTTTTGTCTCTTCTTCTCACATAATAGAAGGTTAGACATCAAACAGCGAGAATGCAACCGAGACCTCTAGATCAAAAATTCATTCTTATAGATCAAAAACACCACATAAAGCTATGTTTATACCTGACAATTTGCCAAAATTTTGAAAAAAAAAAGAGATTGACGGTTCAAGATTGTACCTTGGTGGAGAGAGAGCGCCGGAGTCGACGAATAGCAAGAACAATGCCAATCCCAAAACCTAAAACCAATATCACGTGCCGGAGCCGAGAGGCGGGAGAAAATTCGGGAGGGAAAGAGCGAAAATGAGAGGGTCGAAGAACGCGTGGTGATCTTAACCCTAGGGTGAAAGGAGAGGGGAAAAGGCCATACGCGGTTTTTAGAAAAAATTTGCAAAATAGGATCTATTTTGTTAAATATTTAGTAAAACAGACCGTTTTGCTAAATATTTAACAAAATAGACATTTTTTTGTCAACAGGTAAAAAAGAGATCGGTTTTGCAAAATAGACATCTTTTTTGCAAATTTCTTCGTGGTTTTATTCACTTTCCAGCAAAATCGGGGTTTTGGGTCCCACGAACACTCTTCCCCCAATCCCACGTTGTATCCGCTTTATGCCTCACTTTTTTTTAGCCGCTTAAAACGAACCAAACACACATAAACCACCAAAACTGACTATAAACCCATTGTCAGTTTCCGTTTCCCCTCATTTTTTGCTCGTTTTAGCCCAAACAAGCAGCCCCATAACATAAGCATTTCTCTTTAGAGGGTAATTTAACACACATCATTTAATTTTTTTTTCTGATCTTTTTTTAATGAAAAGCTTAAACTTCATAAATCATGAAGGGGGTTAGTCACCTAGAACTTTTTAAGTAGAACTGAGATAATTGGTAAAGTGGGATAATATTTTGACACTGGGATAATTTAGTGGAACAATGATGGGTAATTTTTAAAGTGGGATAATTTGGTAGGATAATTTGGTGGGATAATGATGGATAATATTATGAAGTTGCATAATTTGGTGGGGGTAATGGTGGGTATAAATTACTATTGTTAATAATTGTATATTAAAAATAATATAATATTGATAAACAAATTCTAGTAATAACTATAAAATATAATGCAATAAAGCATCACTATTCATCTAAAATAATAAAATAATTTACAAATAAATAAAAATCTAAATCCCTAGAGTGACTTGAATTCCATCATCCCACATGACTTCTATCATCCCACATGGCATCTGCCATAGAATTTCTCCAAGCTCCTACAGCTGCTCGTTGAGTCTGTATCTCGTCTTCTTTATCGGAGTCATCGTCTGCATTAGCAACATTTCGTGGAGCTTCTAGTGGAGGATCATAAATGTTGAAGTTCAAATCTCATAACATCATAAAGGGAAAAAAATAAGCATTTTTCAGCCATTAACCCTTTGGACCAATCTCATCATGATCGCTAAAACCAAATCAGCAAATAAATGAAATGTACACAGGAATCATCCATGGCCGCTAAACAGATGATTGACAGATGAACTATAAATATCCCAATCAATTTACTAAGCCGATTTAATAATAATAGATATCACCATTAACCATTCAACATCTAATCATCAATGCGATCGCAAAATTGCTTTCTAACTTATAAAAAAACATAAATAGCCTGCATATCTTTAGCACTAACCCACCAACACTATTTTCTTAACCTAAACCACTGTTGTGGAGAGAAAACTTAGATCAAATAAATAATAATAAAGTAAATTAACGTCAAAAACTATCAATAAAGTAATACATTTTGAAGATAATAATAAAAGATCTAATCATCAAAAAAACAAAGTAAAGACAGAAAAATGAACGGATGATTGACTTCATGGTAGAGAAATTTCTAGGCAGAGAAACTAACCAAGAGGGAGGGAGGTGGGGTTTCACTTTTTTTTTCCAATTGTATTCTTTCCAATGTGTGGGATAAATTGAGAGAGGAGAACTTATGGCTATATATATAGGTAGTATAATTTGTGGGATAATTATGACCAATTATCCCAATTCTAATTCTAGTAGAATTCTACTTGACTAACGCACAAAAAAAATAATACAGTTCTAGTTCTATAAAAGTTCTACTTGGCTAACACTATAAAAAAAATATCTTATTTCCTAGTTCTATGTGACTAACACCTTAAAATTTTATCCTACAAATTATCCCAGTTTCAGTTTTAAGTTCTAGATGACTAACCCCCCGAAGAGATATCACAACTTGCCGTTGTCATTGGGGGTATAAAACTTGATAAATTAGAGAGCCATGTACATATCTTTTATTATTTTTGAGTGAATGCATCGGGACATAATAAATCAAATGTGGAACACAAAAAATTCTATTCGGCTCTTAAATTCATATTTTACCAGTAAAAATATACATGGGGAAAATGGTTAGCAAAGCAAAATGAAACGGATTTATTTTACAGAGCAAATAAACTAAGCAAGATTGAGGGACATAGGGGGGAAGAATATCTCCGCTTTAAAAGAACAAGATTTGTAGCAATAAAGAGCACATGCTCCCCATTACTCAAGCTGAAAAATGTTTTGCATGTTAATTGTAAGCAAAACACTAAAAACTAGAAATTTAGCCCTCAGAAAAGAGTCTAAGTGCGGATAAACCCCTATACTATCGCCTAATTGCAGATAAGCTACCTGAAGCTCTAATCGTGCAGATACACCGCGTGATTTTTTTTAGCCATAAAGAAGCTTAAAAAGTTTGCAGAGACCAATAGACCCATTTTGATTCTATCGGCGTGAATAGACGCCCAATTGCTGATCCCTTTACCGACGATCTATCATCACTCGGGCAAATAGCATAGAGATTATATCCTGCATGCAAAATTAGAACAGGGTCTATTGGCAACTCGGGCGATACTAAAGGGGTCTATCTGCAATCAACCCAAATAAACTAATAAAGTGCGGCAGGTCCCACGACAGTCGCTCCCGTATAAAAGATTCCCGCGGCAACACATCGAATAATATTTATTCAGTTATTCAGTTTCCCCTCGTTATTTTCGTTTTCCCTCCATATCTTTCAGAATCCCAACTATAATTTCCCTCGCTTTCTTCTTTTTCACCCAAAAATCCCCCAAACCCTAACCCCGTCTCTTTCTCCAAATCACAACCCGAAGCCCACGCCGACCTCGCCCGTCGTCGAAACCCGACGCGGATCCTGATCGGAGCGAGGGTTTTGGCGCCGGGCCTCGCCTCAGTTTCCGATCTCCGGCGAGATCGAGGAGATCCGGTCATCGATTCCCGGGGTTTTCTTGTATGTCCGGGGCCCATCCTATGACGTGGCGCTTGCCGTTCCCTCCGCGCTTCGCTGATCCCGATGCTTACCATCGATTCGACGGTGCAAGCGGTCGAATCGAGGAGGATGTGGCTGACGTTCTCGTGATCAAGACTCCGGTGAGTGATCAACGGTTGAAAGTTAGTTTTTTGAGTGACGAAGTTGATATCTTTGCTTGAAATAAGGTGAATTTAACAAAGAACTGAAATTAGAGCAGTTTTAGAGTGGGGACTTCGGTTCTTTTAATTACTTGACATATATTCAGCAGTCTGTACTATTTCTTTTTTGGTAAATTTTCGTGTCTTTTCACAATTAGGGATAAACGCTTGCCAATGTTTTGGGTTAATTTTCTCAAATCGTCTAAAGTTGATATACGTTTAAACTGTTCTATCTTTATAGCAAAATTTCTTCCCAATGCGACAAGTGTGATTTATTTTTGTTGGGGAGACTCTGATTAGGGTTTGTCTGATGCCAAATGTTTGTCAATCTTGCATCCCCCCCCCCCCCCCCCCTCTTAACCTTGTCCAAGAGGATTTTCTATTGGTGATGGTCTCAATATTGGGTTCAATTGTGAAACATGTACATGTTCCATCATATACGCATCACGCATGTAAGTGGAGCATTTGCACCAAAGAAAAATGCATGTTTCTTTACATAAAACAATGACAATGCTTATCCAAGTGGATACTTCATTAAAACCAATATGTTAACCTTAAAAAAAGTAAGGTGATCTGAATTCATGGAATTAAAAGGATATGGATGAAGATGAAATGAATGGAGATTTTTAAGTTCAATATGTTCTGATTTCTTTTTTCCCCTTTATTTTGATTTACAATGTTGAAAGTTTCTCCCTTATTTTTGAGTGACGCAAGCAACAATTTTCTCTTTTATTTTCTAAATTAACTGAGCCTGAAATGTTTTGGTATCTCTGGTTCAAAAAATGGGGCACATCATTACTTAATTTTTTATGTACCTTTGAGGTGAATAAAGCACAAATTCATACTTGCATCTGTTATATAACATGGATGAGTATGCCCTTTTTTGGTAAAAAGAGGTTTCTACATATAATAGGCAGTGAATAAAGCACAAACAAATGCATGCATCTGGTGTATGACATGGATCAACATGCTGATTATTTGGTAGAGAGGGGTGCCCACATATCATAGGTCTTACAATTTTGATCCAAACTGAGTTTGATTAGATTTTTCCCACTGTACTGGAACGTGAACGATGTTTATTTCATTGATAACTGAGACTTTTTGCAGGACCAAGTGGCAACAAATGTCTTGGTGAATCCAGAAGGCTGTCAGTTAACTTACTGCTGAAAACAAAAAAATCATAAATGAAAGTTAGGTTGTGAAGTCTGTAAATCTGTTGGCACATCAAGACTGTACATTTAAATTAGGTTTTTTTGGGGGAATCCTAACTTAAGGCCCTATTTCATGTCACCAACCTTATTTACTCAAATTTCAGAAAACGGCACCTATCTATCATTCCATTAACATATAACCATCCATGAACTTTTCCTTCTGACTTTCCAACTAAAAAATTGTAGTTTTTACCCTACATACGTTGTTGGACTTTGGATATTAATTTGGGATATCAATGTTAAATTTTGTTGAACTTTGGTATATCTTTTTGGGCAAAAAGAACTTTGGGCAACAAAATTAAAAATGAAAATGACGTATTTTTGGGCAAAAAAAAAAAACTTTGGGGTATGAAAGTTAAATGGGAAATGATTTGGGGACTTTGATCCTAAGTTCAAGAAGATTAAACTTATGTAGGGGTAAAACCGTCAAACCATATTTTTCTGGATGGAAAATTGGATGGAAAGGAGCATGAATGGATCTATTTTAATGGAATGGTAGATAGGGGTGATTTTCTGAAATTTGGGTAACTAAGGGTCGTAATGCGTAATAGAGCCTAAGTTGGGGATTGTTCCCTTCAAAAAGCCCTTTAAATTAAGAATGATCTTGTTATCCACAAATGGATAACCGTCCATTGCCCTGGACTTTTAACAAATATTGTCAAATGCTTCATAAATCCAGTTGAGAGCTAATTCATAGAGGGGGAATCCATTCCCTAGGCAGTCAATCTAGTAGCTTCAAGCATTAAGTTGAGGTATTAATGTGTGTGTCAAAGCCTAGGTGGTTCCCAAGAATATTTTAAGATGTGTCACATTGTTCTTAGTTTGTCAATGAAATATGTTTTATGGCAGTCTTAAGTAACTTTTTCTGGTCTTACTAACTACAGTGATTGATTTACAGTTGAAGCGAAAGCCAGATGTAGAAGATCCTGAAACTGCCGACTCAAATGAGTGGACAAACAGCCCTAGATATGTTAAAGGAGTTACCAATCCCTTTCAAACACCTTCATCTATAAAGGGGGGTAGGATCTGCAGCAAGTATAATCCTTTGAAGTTCAAACCTGAATATACAACCCCCATTCAATATGCTGGTAAGAAATTGTGATCTAACTGTTACTCTGCTGCCATCTCAAGTTTCTATTGTGAGATCTATGTATGTTTCGGTTGATGGTATCTCTTTCACTTGAATCATTTACCTGACTGCCATATGTTTTGATGACTTGTGCAAACACCTTTATGGGCGTTTCCAGTGTTGGAAAATAAGTTTTACAAGGTTGCTTATGTGGTTGCATGAGTATGCGGGTTACAACTGCAACAAATAAAGAGTATGTGCTTCCAATATGCGGACAAGGCACATACTAGCTTGCATGTGAATTAAGAACCACACGCCTGATTACATAAATGGTTTTGCACTTTTCTTTTTAAATCCAACTTGTTACCTAATTAAACCTAACATAATTAGAGCAGTTACAACATTTAAACAAAACCCTATGAGACTAGATCAGATCCCTAAATTAAAACTCATTAATCTCTGCTTCCCGACTTCCAACCCCATCTAAATAGGTTACTTGCTTTGTCCTTCCATTCTCTCACTTCGAACGACATCTAGTGAGATAATTGTGCCACTTTTTTCCTGTTATTTTCTCCTTCTCTTATCCAATTTTCTTCACTATCCTTTCTCCTGCTCTCCTTTTGATCCCTCTGTCTCCAAACTTGTGAGCAAATGCAAAATAAACACTTGTCATTCAACAAATCAGAATAGAAGGAAAGAGGTAAGCTTGGAGATGACAAATTTCTTTTTGTTTAGTTGTTGATATTCACTAGCAGCTTTATTCTTATTACAAATTTGGAGTTGTTTCTGAGCTAGGGTTAGTTTACTAGCTTGTATTACTCCTAAACGTAATCTGCTGTATTCTTAGAAATGTTAGCAAAAATTCTAAAAATTCACAAAGCGATCATACACAAGCACGTAAAATATGGAGTAGCGCTTTACTCAACATATTGTGAGGATTATCAAGGTGAAGGACCCTTAAATAATTATTCCATTCACACCCCAAATATCACTTACAATTTCTCTCTAAGAGAACTCTAAAAGTTGCAGCGTAAACAAAATAGAGAGCATGATTGCTATACTTATAAGATTTACTCTTGGTCATCATGGAATTGGAGAACTTACTAATTCAAATTATTGGGTAGGAGTCTAATTCTGTTTAGTATAAGAAATGAAATCTCAATCAAACAGTTGAAATAGAACTCCTAATCTTATTATGAGATCTCTTGGGCTTATATAGGCCCCTACACAACTTACAAATAAGTCCCTAACTAATACTAATATGTCAACACTCCTCCTCAAGATGGGCGAAAGATATCTACTAAGCCCATCTTGTCACATTCTCTAATCATATCTACTGAGCTAAGTCCTTTAGTCAGACAATCTGCTGCCTAGTCCTTAGTCGAAACATGACTTAGCTCCAGTAGTCCACTATCCAACTTCTCTTTGATGAAGAACCTATCGATCTCGATGTGTTTGGTTCTATCATGCTGCACTGGGTTGTTGGCGATACTGATGGCTGACTTGTTATCACACCACAACTTCATCTTAGCTCCTTGATCCAGCTTCAGCTCCACCAGCATACTCTTTAACCATAGCAACTCAGCAACTCCTAAGGCCATAGCTCTATACTCTGCCTCAGCTGTCGATCTCGCCACCACCGACTGCTTCTTGCTCTTTCACGAGACTAAGTTGCCTCCTATAAAGATGCACTATCCTGAGGTGGACCTCCTGTCATCAGCACAACTAGCCCAATCAGAGTCATAATAACCCTCAATGCTCATGTGTTCATTCTTCCTGAAGATTAGCCCTTTTCCGGGGGTATTCTTTAAATACCTTAGAATCTGGTACACTGCGTACATATGACCCTTCCTTGGATCATGCATGTAGCGACTCACCACGCTCACTGCAAAAGAGATATCGGAATGTGTGTGACACAGATAGATCAACCTGCCCACCAGCCTTTGGTATCTGTCACGATCAACTGGTTCTCCAGCTTCAGCACCCAGCTTAAACTTCTGGTCAATCGGTGTAGTTGCAGGTTTGTATCCTAACATTCCTGTCTCTTTGAGAAGATTCAGTGCATACTTTCTCTGGGATAGGACGATCCCCTCCGCTCCTCGAGCTATCTCTATTCCAAGAAAGTATCGAAGCAAGTCAAGCTCTTTCACCTCGAATTCCTTACCCAGTCTCACTTTGAGTTGGGCAATCTCCTTCTCATCATCCCCTGTAATAATCATATCATCGACATATACTGCAAGCAAGGTGATGTGACCTCCACTTCTTCGAAAGAACACGGTATGGTCGGCGCTGATCTGCTGGCACCCCATACTAATCATAGCCCTCCTGAATCTGTCAAACCAAGCACGAGGAGACTGCTTTAGCCCATAAAGAGACTTCTTCAATCTGCAGACCTTTCCCACTGTCTGATCTGTACCGAATCCTGGTGGTATTTCCATGTATACCTCCTCCACTAGATCTCCATGAAGAAATACGTTCTTCACATCTAGTTGGTGTAGCTTTCATCCATCATTTACTGCCAGAGAGATTAAGGTCCGAACAGTGCTCATCTTTGCCACCGGTGCAAAAGTCTCATCATAATCGATGCCATATGTCTGACTATACCCTTTTGCCACCAGACGAGCCTTGTAGCGTTCAACTTGCCCATCTGGATTCTGCTTCACAGTGAAGACCCACTTACATCCAACTGCTCTCTTTCCTTCTGGTAGTTTTACTAGCTCCCAAGTGCGGTTCTTCTCAAGAGTCCCTAACTCCTCGTGCATAGCCGCTTTTCACTTTGGGTCTTTCTTAGCAACCTGCCAATTGTTAGGTACAGTAACAGAGTCCAATGATGCAATGAATGCTCCATGGTCTTTCTTAGCAACCTGCCAATTGTTAGGTACAGTAACAGAGTCCAATGATGCAATGAATGCTCCATATATAGGGTGGATATTAGAATATGATACAAACTGGGCAAGATCCCAACCATATCTATCGGGAGGATGTCCCGCATTGCTGCGAGTGGTCCTCCGTACTGATATTGGTGTGGGAGGAGTAAGGAGAGGAATGATATCACCTTGAGAGGAATCTGATGGTGGTGTAGGTGTCTCAGGAGTCGGGACAGGCGTTGATAAGGGACTTGGCACTAGTGGCACTGTAGGTACTGTTTCTGCAATTTGCTTCCCCTTCCTACTATAGGTAAGTAGCTCCCCCTGAGCCGTGGGCCTAACACCTCTTGTCTTCTTATCCTCTTCTTCTTTATTCTCCTGCTCCTCCTCAACCAATTCTCCTTCCCAATGAATCGTTAGAGAAATCGATTTCTCCATATTATTCTGCCTCTCACCATTCTCCCCTTCTCGTCTCATACTTTCAGTATTGGGCGAGTCACCAACGGATGAGGGTACCTTCTGTGTGTAATATGGCTCAAATTCACGAAAGTACACATCCATACTTACGAACAGTCTTTTCTCCACCGGGCTCCAGCAAACATATCCCTTTTGAGTAGCAGAATATCCCATAATTATGCACTTCACCGCTCTAGGGGCAAGCTTCCCGACTGATGGTCTGTTGTCCTTCACAAAGCACACATAACCAAATACTTTCAGTGGAAGAATCCCACCATTATCTCCTTTCAACGTCTCACACAGAGACTTCCAATCCAGTACTCTCGAGGGCATTCTGTTGATTAGCATCGTTGCAGTCAACACTGCTTGCCCCCACAATGTTTCTGGGACATTCATGGAGATCATCATACTTCTAGCAACCTCTAAAAGATGTATGTTCTTCCTTTCTGCTACCCCATTCTGAGCTGGTGTGTATGGACACGTAGTCTGGTGTTGTATTTTCTGAGATGACAAGTATTCTCCAAACACTCTGTTGGTGTACTCTGTTCCATTATCAGATCTCAATACCTTCACCACTGCTCTATATTGAGTCTGAACATTTCTATGAAAGTTTTGAAAGCAGCCAAACACTTCACTATTATTCTTCATCGGGTATAACCAAGTAACGTGAGAGAAGCAATCAATGAAGGTAACAAAATACTTGTATCCATTCATAGAACTTGTGGAACATGGCCCCCACACATCTGAATGTATCATATTAAATGCATGAGAACTCCTATGATCAGAACTAACATAAGAGCTTGTAAGCTTTCCCAACTTACATGCATCACACACAAGTTTTTCTTTATTTACTTTCTCAAATAAAGATGGATACAACCTACTTAAAACACCGAAAGAAGTATGTCCCAAGCGTTTGTGATGAAGCATCAACACACTCTCAGCACTCATCTCAGATCCTACTTCTGCTCTCTCTACCATTAACACCAAAAGTCCATTACGCCATGTGCCAGTCCCAAGTCTCCATCCTGTCCCCTTCTCCTGAAAGATCACCTTGGGAATATCAAAAGAAACAATACATTTTAGTTGGAGGATGATAGAACTAATGGATAAAAGATTGACTGGAAAGGAAAGAGCATGCAAAATATTGGACAAAGTTACAAAACCAGTACAATCGACTGTACCCTTACCAACCACCGGCTGAAATGTACCATCAGCTGTTTGAATACTATCAGGCGATGCTAAGTGAGTATATGAGTATATGATGAGAACTCACTAGCATTACCTATCACATGACGAGACGCACCAGAGTCGACTATCCACTCTGATGATCTGTTGGGAGACATAGAAGCAAAAACATGTATGTCATCAGTACCTTTGGTCGGATGAGCATATGTAGCAGTGTTGCCTCTGGCGAAGAACGAAGTGGATGCCTCCTCAGTCCCACTCCTCAAGTCTCCATCCCCTGCTACTTGCTATTTTTTTCTGAGTATCGTCAGGAGAGCACGATCCTCCTCTGTAAAGACCACCTCAGCTTCTTCTTCCTCTGCTACCGTCAGATTCGCCCGATTCCCTGCTCCTCTTCCACCTCGTCGACCCCCACGGCCACGACCTCCGAACTGTCCACGTCCACCCGAATCTCCTTCCTTGGGTGGCTTGGTGCAAACATGCCTTAGATGACCCACCGCACCGCAGTTGTAGCACTGTCGAGTCTCTCCCCTAAATCCAGTGTTGCTAGAGGCTGTCAGTGCTGACTTCACCACAGGAAGTCCACCTGTCCCCGCCTGCAGTCGAATGCGAGTCTCCTCCTGGATCATAGCAGAGACAGCCTCCTCAAGCGTGGGAATCTTTAGCTGAGCTAGCAACAATGCGATTCGCTGAGCGAACTCTGATGTCAATCCTTTGAGAAACACCATAGTCCTCTCCTATAGAAAGGCCTCCCGTTCTTTACATCCCGGGTCCTTGCAGCTCGCCCGAGGTGAGAAGTGATCATAATCTAGCCACAGCCACTCCAGCTCTGTGGCATACTCCTGTACAGTCCTATCCCCCTGAACTGTGGCGTCGATCTCACCCTTAATCTGGAACACCTTCAGGTTATTCCCCACTCCATCATAGGTCTTCTTCAACTTTTCCCAGACGTCCTTCACCTTCTCAATGTCATCCACTGTGGCGGCGATCGACTGGACTAACGAGTTGAGGAGCCATATGTATACCAACATATGAGTAGCCTTCCACTCATCTCTACCCTCAGAGTCCTCATTCGGCTCTGTCACCTCTCCTGTCAGATAACCCTCCAGGTTCCTCCCTGCAAGGGTGTATCTCACCCGCCGTGACCAGCTCAGGTAAGTACCCGGTCCATCAAGCTTCAGATCTATGATAGGAAGTTCCAACTTCTTGGATGGTTTTGTCGCGCTCTCACCAGCCGACAACTTCATCAACTTTATCAAAGTTGACACCTCCGCGGGGTTCAACTTCTTGATAATCTCCTCCATTGATCAAGCTTCAGACCCAACACCTGGTCACCGTCTCTTCTGACCCTTGTTGTGTGCAGTGAAAATTTCGGCAGCACCTCTGCTACACAATAAGAGTAAGATCTCAGACAAACTCTCGTTTCTCAAAGGAAACAAGAATAAAAAACAGTGATATATCTCATCGCCGTGAGATATATACTCTTCCTGTCATCAGTTCGTGGGGTGGCGGCGGCTAGGGTTTGGAGGAGGCTCTGATACCAAGTTGAAATAGAAACCCTAATCTTATTATGAGATCTCTTGGGCTTATATAGGCCCCTACACAACTTACAAATAAGTCCCTAACTAATACTAATATGTCAACACAAACTTTTGTAAATCCAACAGAAAAGCTTCTTCTTTATAATTACTTAGAAAACGAAATTAGCCATATGTTTGAAAAACACTCTTTTAGATTGGAATTGATATTTGATCCGACTTAACTATGACCTACATTATATGGTCTAGGATTGGTGGATTACAAGAAATTTTATCCTTTTTTTAGCTTCTCATATATTTTAGATTTTTAAACTATATAAAAGATTATTAAAAAAAACCCACTTTTGCTTTATTCCAAATAATTTGATGGTGCATTATGCATTATGCATTGCTTGATAGCATGCATAACATGTACTCATTTTTAAAGATTGGTTAGTTCTACTTATAAGGTTTCCACGGGTTATTCTATATAAAAGACTTCAGTTTCATGAGAAAGAAACTATAAATTTGCATCATGAAATTACTTACTTTCTTATATTTACTATTTTACTTATATGCCTATCTACCTATGGTGCTATACACAAGTCAAACTTTCACTTGATTCTTGTCAGGCTTCTGTATGCTTTCATGACAGTGCTTGTATTACTTTGGTCTCTCCCTTTCACACATACAGGCGTATCCACACACAGATTATGTATGCTTTCACTCTGTTTCTGCATGCTTTCACTTGTCAGGTTTGTACGCGTGCGCATCCAAACTGGATTCCACTAGATTATGGTTTTTCCTTTTATTGCTTTTAATAATGTTATTTATTTGTTTATAAGACATTCAAACACTTATTTACCGTTTAGAAACAGGCATACTAATTATACTAATTTATTGTAAGTTAAAACCAGATAGCATTAAGTTTCTCAGGACTATTCTTAATTTTACAACTGCCTTACTGCCCCTATAATGTGTTTTCGAGAATTTGGCAACTGTATTGGTGTTTGACACGAAATATGTAGTAATATGGTACTATCTACCTGTCTATGGATTTGTATAGCATTTTTATAGTTCTGTTATATTAATTAGGGAAATAACTGCGGAATAAAAGTCTGAATGTTTGTTTCTGCAGGTTCTTCCAGTAACGATCTTACCCCAGTTAGTAATTTTCGCTATGACAACTCTCTAGGTGATTGAACTATCAATTTACTGCAAAATATTTTTTACGTCAATAAAATCATGAACCTTTCATAAGTGGCAAAATCTTAGAATAATAGCTTATGAAATTGATGAAGGGTTCCACTGGTTTGTGCTGTTGATTGTGATATGGTGCTATATTGTTTTTCAGGTTTCCTGACAAAAAAGTTCATCAATTTGCTTAAGCATGCACAGGATGGCATTCTTGATTTAAATAAAGCTGTGGAAACTTTGGAGGCGAGCTTATAACCTTATAGAGCATTATCTTCTAATTATTAGCACTTTGCAATTCCATCAGGGTTCCCAGACCCACCTATTCTTTTTTAACTCCCAGCCACTAATTGTTTAATGTACTCCATCCTGACTGGAGTCATGTACGCATTTTAAACTTAAGAAAAACAGTAATTTTCTCCTGGTACTAGTTATAAACAAGAAATATATTATCTGAATCACCACAAAGTCCTTGATAGAAGCAAGTAAGATTAAGGGGTCAATGTCGAGTAAAACTTTGAAGATCGATTCCAGGGAGTTGTATTCTTTTGCAAACTTCTATAACCGAGGAGTTTAAAACAGAAAATTTCCTTGAAGTTTCAATTTTTTAATATAATTGAAGTTTTAATTTCATTCTGTATTTTTATGTCACAGGTTCAAAAAAGGCGTATATATGACATTACAAATGTCCTTGAAGGAATTGGACTAATTGAGAAGAAACTTAAAAACAGAATAAGTTGGAAGTAATATATCATGTTCATCTGCATATTTCAAGATTATTTCCTCTTTTCTCTTTGTGCATGCATGTTCTCCTAAATAGTTATTTATTTAATGAAATTTATGACAGGGGTTCCGATGACTCAAGACCAGGAGAAGTTAATGATGTCCCAATTTTAGAAGTAAGAGAAACATTCAGTGTTTGATTCTGTTCTGAAACATTTAGTGTTTGATTCTGTTCTCTTTTCGTATCATTTCTGTATACTTGTTGTGATAGCTTACGTTGATATGGCATTGTAGATGTTTTACTAGTTCTTTCTGTAGGAGAGCTTCAAACCCTAATCCTATTATAATTTTCATTTCAGGCAGATATTAAAAAGCTTCATATGAAAGAGCGCAACTTGGATGATCGAATAAGGTAATGCATTAGCCATATCTCCCTTCCCATGAGAATATTTTAGTTGTCAGTCTGAAACTCTATATTCTTTGCAGTGAAATAAAGGCAAGGCTAAAAAGAATTAGTGAAGATGAAAGCACCCAGAAGTAGGTGCTTTCTTTCATATATGCAAGTCGCAGTTTGTGGTTAACTTTACTTTCTCATATTACTTCCTTTTCCATTTCTCTCTGTTACCTTAGATTTCTATACGTGATCGAAGAAGACATAAAATCTCTTCCCTGCTTTCAGGTATGTTTCTTTATGCTCTAGCTTTTGCTTTGCAATGTGCTTACATTGCAACTGCTGGTGATCCTTATTAAGATATGCTAGCATTTACTTCCACTTTGTTATTTATTGCTGTAAAAAATATTAATTTATCCTATAGCATTGACAAAATTAGAACCATAAATGGTTTCATACAACTAATGTAAAGAAATTTAAAGTTGACGTTGCTTTTTATAGGGTTAATTGCGGATAGATCCCGTGCACTGTTGCCAAATTGAACTTACTAACCCTATAGTTCTATTGTTGCTGATAGACCCCTTGAGTGAACTTTTTTGACCCTTTTCAGAGAGGCAATGTGCAATGATAGATTTTCACTTAGGGGATCTATCTACAACAATAGAACTACTGGGTTAGTAAGTTCAATTTAGTGGTGGTATAGGGGCCTATTTGCAGTTGACCTTCTCTTCAAAAATCTTCTAACCTGCAACTATTAGATGATTATCATAGTACTTTTTTGCTTATTTTGCAGAACAAAACTCTAATAGCAATTAAAGCACCCCTGAGTACAAACATGCAAGTTCCATATCCCGATAGCGTAAGGGAAAGTGAAGGAAGAGTGGAGAATAATGCATCCTACTTGTGATTCTTTAAGTTTCTGAGAGGTTAATGTTTCTCCCTTGCTTTAAACAGGACACTGAGGATCCTCAAAGAAGATACAGGCTGGTCCTTAGAAGCGAAACTGGTCCAATTGATGTTTATCTTGTCAGGTAATAGCTCCCTTTCTAGAGAGATTAATTTATTCCATTAAAGCGTATTGCAGTCACATTTATAGTTTGTTTTCTCAGTAAGTTTGAGGAAACAATTGAGCAGATCAGCGGTGTGGAAACTTCCGAAAATATCCTTCCTGTGTCAAATCCAAGCTTTCCTCAGAGTGAAATGATGGCAGTGAGAACTGTAGAAGAGAGCAGAGGAAAGGAAACTGAGTTTCAAGGTGTCGAGATGTCGCATGCTAGTCCAAATTTTTTACAGGAATCTATTGCTGGGATGATGAAGATTGTTCCTTCAGAAGTTGATGTAAGTATAACAAGCTTGGATGGGTACTTAAGTTTTTGTATACTAGTTGTATTTATATATGGCTTACCTGGTAACATTTCGGACAAAGCTAAGATTCAGTCTTCCTTCAAGAAACTAAGACTGAGGTCATACGCAATCAGGAGCTAGGATTTATCATAAAGGGATTTGGCTTCTCAGAGCCTTTGTCCAAAGCAGAAAGGTACTCATCACAATCAGGTTATGTGGTGACAGGCTGAGCCAGTAAAGGGTTAGCCTTAGAAGACCTACTTATGATCCATGTCTTTCTGCACAAAACTTACGGTTCAACTGCACGTTTTATGAGTCATATTCTTTTATGATATGTAGCTTACAGTTTAAACATTACACCTTTGGAGCCTTTACGTTATGATAAATAGGCTGTGGCTTTCAATTTTGAGGCCCCATCCTTTCCCTTCAAAAATAAATAAATAAATTAAAAAAATCATCTGTGCATAAGGTGGTTTGCGTCGTGATTGGACTTACACCAGCTGCACATTGAGTCTGAGGTTTTGTACGCCTCTTTGTTAGCAAGACCACAAAATACTCAACAAAGATTACATCCAACCTTCAAGCCAAAATCTCACATCCCCTTATCGTTTTTATTTTTCTCTATTTTGGATACAAGTTAAATCGGAGAGTGAGGTCATATTTATAGCATAGGAGAAACTGCGAAAATACCACTGGCGGGGCTGGGGCTGCTGCTCCCTCTTGGCCCTCTCCTGTCAGTAGCAGGGCAATACGGCAGGGGTATGTAATAATCCATTAAATAAGGCTTCAGAGACAACGATTTGACGGTTGTAGAAGTAGGTTAGTGGCTACACAAAGTACATGAATCCTTGAAAACAATGTTTTCTCATCTTTTTATTTGAACTAAATATCTAAAAATTTTGTGAACAATGTCAGATTTTATCTCTTAAATGTCTTGCCAACCTGACAGTATTTACCCATCTATCGTTTATTGTTGTTTTTAATTTTTGCAGACAGATGCAGATTACTGGCTTCTATCAGATGCCGATATTAGCATCAGTGACATGTGGAAGACAGTTCGTATCCTTTTGAGCACCAGTTCTCCTAAACTCTTTGTTTTAGTTTAGCGTCAACTGTGGATAGACCCCTGCATGCTTGGCTAATTACAGATAGACCCCCTACAGCTTCATTGTTGTGGATAGACCCCTGTGTGAATTTTTTTTGACTCTTTTAGTGTAGGGAGATCTATTTGTTAAAAGAATTAATTACACCCTGGTACTCCGTGGTATCATGTAATTATACGGGTGACGCTGGGTTTGTGTATCTACACAAATAACCTTGAAATTACTGATTGAGGTTACACTGGCAACCCAAAGATTACTTTCACCAAGGCTATACGTGCAATCTCAATAGTAATCTTGGATTTATCTGCGTAGATATATAGACCTATGGTACCCGTGTAATTACACCATACCACAGGTTACGAGAATGTAATTGATCTTAACAAAAAACAATTTTCTCTTTCTCCGGGGGTCAAAAAAAAAAGTCAAGAGGGGGTCTATTCGAAATTAACCCTCTATTTTAACTTTCTTCTCATCTGGAATCTCAACCTTGTATCATCCATAACGCTCTTCAAGCTGATGCTCATTGGGACGTAGAACCTGGGTTAAACGCTGAGGATTTCCTTGCAAGCAGTCCTCAAACTCCGACGGCTGGAGTTCTGAAATCACCCTCAGTAACTCACACTCCCAGAAGCAGGATGGTGAAGTAGGAAGCAAGGTTTGAACTGTTACTCATCAGAAACCTTGAGTTTTTTTACAGTGATCATATAAACGCCACTTAACATAGTTCTAGTTGTCAATGTCAACGGTTAACTATAGTTCTGGAGATTCTAAAGTGTAGCTGGTGATTTTATGCAGTTTAAGACGAGAGTTGCCTTGTACAGCTGAAGACGGGATGTTATCTTATGAGCGCTATATACGTCCAATTAGAATTTTGATCTCAAACGTAGACATGTTTGTTTATTTATTTTTATTTTGCGAGGAGAGTAGCATATAATTTTTCTTGTTTGATCTCAAACAGTTAACGGACCGAGTAAGAATTGTTAGTTGTAGGAATCTCTAATCATAATTGAATTCCAATTTGATAAGATTTTTTTTTTTTTTTTGCATACGAAACTATATGGCGCAAAGATAATTCGGATTCCTTGATATATTCCGTTTTGTTTTGCCGAGTTCTATTCTCAGTTAAGACGTCGGAACACTAATACGACTCGGACTCTTACAGTAGAACAAATTTAATAAAAAAAAAAGAAGCTTATTTCATAGGAGTTCATCTCAAGCGAGAATTAGTAACTACATCAATTTAAAAAAAATATAGTTCAACTAAGAAAGAAACTCTCGCTATAAATAAAACCAGTAGCGTCCAATAACAGAATCTAAAACCCCTGTTTACCCTCCAAAAACACATCTTCTTCTTCCTCCTCCTTCAACAATGGCGAATTCAGCAAGTGAGGACGGCTCGAAGCCCCGAAGCCCGATAACGGGTTCGGGTTACACTAGCTTAAGAGACATTATTTCGTCTCCAGAATTCAAACCCGTAACCTTCAATGAGAAGTTCGTAGGAAGCAAAGACCCGCTGGTGCACCAGGATTCACGCGCGTATCTCATGAGGAAGCCGTCGTCGTCGGATCCTTTTCGACGTTTTTTCAGGGGCGTTGGTTCTTGTTTGGAGTTTATTTGTGGAGGCTATGATTAGACTTTTAGCATTTGATTTCTTTGTATCTTTTTTTTTCTTTTCTTTTTAATTGGTTAAGGTTTTTATCGTACTGGTTGGATGCATTGTGAACAGATACGATTATGAGTCCAGAACATACAATTGCATGGAACTGTAGATTTTTAATTAAGCTTTAAGAAATTGATGAATTTTATTTTTATTTACTTATTTTCGTAACACGCACATATACTAGTTTTTATACGTGTGCAATGCATGTAGTTAAATACAATGATTAAGAGGGTGTTTGGGAAGGCTTGTTTTTTTGAAGCTTATAAGTTATGTTGGCTTTTGGTTGCTTTTTAGCTTTTGTGATAAAAATGCTATAAAAATTGTTTGGGTAAAGATGTAATTTATTTGGTCGAACCTAACTTATATAAGTGAGATTATAAACTAGTTTTTTTTTAAAGGTGGGGTATACCAGCTTTTAAAAATGGCACTAATGAGCTAACTTATTTATTACTTTATCAAAAAGATAGCAAAGAAAAAGCTAGCTTAAAAGCTAGTTTTACCAAAAAAATAAGCCTCCCCAAACACCCTCCAAGCATTTTTGGCTTATTTCCTAACTAAAATTTGTCATGATCCACTTTAACAGTTTACTCACTTTTGTCTGTAAATTTTACCATTGTTATTATTTATTTTTTTGTATTTGTTTGAATGGTCTACACCCAGTTTAAATTTTTATATTGATAATTGAATTGTCAAGAAACAAATATAATCTGAAGCCAATGTGAATTATTATATTATTTGGACCGACATAAAACCAAGTTTTACTTGAAATAATGTTATACAATGAAGGTGAATATTTAAAATTAATAAGACAATATAATTGATAAAAAAAATATGCTAAGACGATACAAAAGAGAATATGAAGTTTGTTTTTAATCATTGATAGACTTCATAAAAAATTATAAACAAAAAATTAATGCTAACTCTAGTATATTTTTATATGATAAAAGCATTCATATAAGCATATAAAAATACTGAAAAAATTTCATGATAATCCCTTCTAAAAAATCCTAATTTCACTCAGAACAATTAAACTATACTATAAAATATTTAAAAAATTATTATCTTTTATTTCTTCTATTTTATTTTTTTATTGAACTGAGATCAATCATTCTTCACCCTTATCTTTTTTATAGGAAACTCTAAAGTAGTGTATTTATCATCTATATCAATTAAGACATCAAACTAGAGTTGAATTTTTTGTTTTGGTATCTTTCATGGGCTTGTTAATCTTTTATCTTCTCATTTAACTTCAAAAAAGTTGAATGTATTTCCAATATTCAACATAAAATTCTTAAAATATAGACTTTGATTTTTTTACAATGTTAATTTCATATATATGAAATTTTTTGTGTTCCTAATTTATTATATTTAAATAAGATTAAGAGTTACATTTTTTTCTTTACAATAAATTCTTCTAATGTGCATCCAATAAGAGTTTTTGTTATGTCAATAATATTACATTTGCTCTATCCTTATTATTTTCCACAACGATTTTAACTAAATACATGTATTTTTTATTGCCAGTTTGCCTAAGATTATAGTATTAATATTTAATTTCTTTAACATTTGAAGAACAAAGTATGAAATTTATGAATACTTACTAATTTTTCTTGCATTTTCCATGGAGAATTCTTTTTTAATTGGAATAAAGTTGTTAAATTATTCTTCAATGGAACTTAATCGTTGTTTATTTTTATTAATATTATTTTTGAAATTGTTGAGCTATATATAGTTTACGTGAGATTATAATAGGATATAATTACTACTATGATAGATTAAGATTTAAATGAAATATTCAAAATAGTGAATGGTAGTGTTGACTATGAAATTTTCTTGTGCTTTTAAAGGAATTGTGTGTGTGTGTGTGTGTCTGAGAAAATAGGTATGCTTGGTACCAAGCACAAGTTTTTGTGCTTAGTAGTGAGATGACATATTCCCTTCCACTCATTGAAATGAGGGCACACATTCACATGGGTTGGAGAGTGGTTGAAAATTGGAATGAGTGGATGGGAATAAAACACCTCACTACTAAGAAAAAAATTTGTGTTTGGTACCAAACATACACATCTCTCTCTCTCTCTCTCTCTCTCTCTATATATATATATATATATATAATATATATATATATAATATATATATCTATATATATATATATATATATATATATATACTCCCTTTAAAAGCACGAGTTCGGGAAAAACTTTTCATAGTCAATATTATCATTCACTATTTTAAATATTTTATTTAAATTTTAATCTATCATAATCATAATTATATCATATCCTAATCCCGCGTAAACTATCTATAGCTCAACAATTTAGCTCTAGAACCGCAAATTATCAATCCTCCAGCTTAAAGAATCTGGACATAGATATTTCTCAATTAAATTGTCACTATAGTGTTACCTTAACTTTCTGCAATAAAATGAATAGCACAAAACTAACTTGCATCCTAAACAAATGAAACAATTAACATATAATATGAGAATATTAACAAATAAATAATCAAATATTTCTCTGATAAAAAACAAATATTTGTTTAAGTAAAATTGTGTTTAGGCCCCGTTTTAAGAAACCATATGTGGGTGCGTTCCTTTGACTTTTCCTCATGTGCTTTTCCTTTTTGACCTTACTTTTCATGTGAAAAACTCATTTTCATGTGGTTAAAATATTTCTCTGTTAAAAACTAAATAAATTAAAAACTAAATAAATAAATAAATGTTTCTTTCAACAAATCTGCGACCCGATCAACCCACCAAAAAGCCCATCACAATAAACTATCTCATACTTGACATCAAATAATTCCCTTGTCCCCAAAATAATCCCTAACGAGCTCCATAAATTCAAATTTCATGGCGATTTACTTCGAGTTAAGATCCCCATAGATTCCCCCAAACTCCATGGCAGGTCTCATAATATTTAACCCTCACCAGTGATCTATAAAAACAAGAAAAACCCAAGCGAAGAATCACTGAAGAAAGAATCAAGATCAAGAAATAAACAAGAAAGTAAAAGCTCAATTCAAGAACTGCACAGTCAAATATTGACTAATTAATATGCACATGTCACCAAAGGAGGAAATTAAAAGATTAAAAGAAAAAGGAAATAAAGAAGAGTGCTGCTACGGGGACCCCAAAATATGGGACCAATGGAGGGGACAGGTGAGGTGTCCCCTCCCTATTGCGTAATGAGTTGGCACACAATGAGTTGGCCATGCCAACTCATTATGCAATAGGGAGGGGGCACCTCACCTGTCTCCTTTCTTGGTCCCATATTTTGGATCCTTAAGTTATTTTCCAATAAAGAATCAAATAGTAACTGATTTAACAGCCAACATATATATGCCCGCGTGTACGTTCATTTCATTCATGACCCCCAAGCTAATCAACATGGAAATTGATGGTGCACATTACAAACGTAGAAAACAAGAGACGCTCATGAATAAAATCTCAGCATTGAATCAAAGGACTCTAGCTGCAGGCATGAAGTAATCCCTTGTCGGAATGAAGTTGGAAAAACTTCAAATAAAATTATAGCAGGCAGATAAATCTAAATAAAATAAAAAACAAAATCTGGTCTGAACGGGAGCAGTCGTGTAATCACTGCCCTAAAAGATTAAGGACTCGCCTATCGTCCTGACGTAGATGATCCTCTCTCCCCTAGCGGTAAAACCCCCGGAATCGGCCGGCCTCTGTACTTGGGCGAGAGAACAGAGCTTATGCTCAGATGAAAAAAGTTATCCAAAAAGTAAAACCAAAAATATAGAAGAAAATAATATGCAGAGGAGAGAAGAGAAACAAGAGTTCTGTTGTGTGTATTTCGAGAATGAGAAGGGCTGCTTATATAGGTGTTTTAGAGAGCCGTTACAAAATCCAGCAATCAATTCTGTAACGTTCATCATAATATCGATCGTTACGTAATAAACCCGCAGCCGTTACACACGTGAAAAATGTGTAAAATAAAGCCAGAGAAAACAAAAAAACATGTGCATGCGGTGTGGCGTGGCGCGCGCGTCACGACGTGGCTAGGCGTGTCGTGCATGTGTGTTATGCAAAGCCCAAACAATACAAAACTCAAAACACTATTCAAAACCCAATAAGAGGAGATGCAAGTTCAACCACCAACTATTCATCTCATTATTCCATGTGGGACAATTCACCCCAAAAAAAAAAGACAATATTGACTAAAAACTCAAAATCAATAAATAAATCAATAAATCACAAACAAATATAGGTTGAGCAACCTTTCGTATCGTGAATTCCGGAGAGATAGCTTTCGGCTTTGAACATTTCCTTAGTGAGTTCATCGCCACCTGATGGACATAATGGACTAGGCCTTGAGCTAGACCCCTTTAACCAGGTATTGACGAAAACACACACAA